GCCCTTTGAACTGTATCTAACTACTATCCACACCATTATAAGTTGTAAACCACTCCGAGAACGTGCAGGTCATGTTACGCTATGGAATTACATTATCCACAAGCTGCTCGCGTGCTGCCTCGTGAACCATTTTAATTATATTATATTACATATTTTACCAAATGTAGTCTTAAATAACCAAAAAAATACGTATTTTTATATTTTAGTTACTTTTATAATAATAAATATAGAATAAATATGAAAAACAAAAATAAAGTACAGTATTGAACAAAGAAGTCACATGACCAGAACTGTTGTGAAACTTAGAAGAGGTATCTAGGCACCCCGGGGTGTTGGTTTAGAGTAGGGTTGTTTTGTTCAATTAAGATGGATTCCTTGATTTTTCGTTTGTTTATGTTGGGTTCTTTGTTTAAAATGACTGTGTCGAAACCTTGTCGAAACGTTAAAAATAAAGTACTTACCCAATCTTCTTTTTTTCTTGCTCTCGATTGTCGAGGACAATTAAGCCTAATTTTTTATAGTAATGATAGTAATGCACTCAATAATTTTTATTTAATTAGATAATGCAACAAGTAATATAGACTAATAACATGCAAAAAGTAAACAAATTCCCTAACCACTCAAAACACTTCAGGCTAGTGTTAACTTTCCCATGGGAACGAATCTTGTACCGTGAGTGAAATTGAAGATATTCTGTTCAGAACATAACGTTATACAATACGTCATTTGATAGATGAAAGCCTTGACTTTCTGTTGGTTATAGGTAATATATAATGAAACATGAGAAAGAGAGAACTATCAAAGAATTGTGAATGAGAGGATGTGACAGGTGGGTGTGGCAGAAGGGTTCTGATTTTCTGTTTGATAGCTCTGTAACCAAACAAAGTTGAAGACTATAAAAATTACGGTTTTTCTGAGCAATAACGATTTTATAGAAAATAATTTACGTTTAATTTCGTACTTTTTCGAAGGGTGGTGGACAAAATAAGGATGATAACATGCTAAGAGAAAATGTGTCATGTGGGTCACGCCAGTGAAAATTCAGGATGTTTTTACATATTGCCTTGTAGAATTAAGAAGATAAAACTTGTATACTATTAAAATATGGATTATTAACTAAGATTTTATGTTATTCTAATTGGTATACCATAAACAAAAAGTAGTTTAACAAAATTTTGAATGTAAGACACTAAAACCTTGTGTCATGTGCAGTAAATAATAGGGTTATTAGAAGCTCCTGGTATATATATGATAGGATTGTGAGTCCTTTTGTGACACTGATAATGGAATTGAAGCAGTGTTATAGCATCACCAGATGGAGTGGAACAATTAATAGCATATGTTACTTGTATGCTCACAGCTCCTAAGTGCTGATACTGCATGATGAAAAGAGAACTGCTTGCAAATTTAGTCTTCGTCGAACACTACAGACACTACCTGTATGGCAGAAAGTTCACCCTTAGGAAGGACCATGTGTCATTAAGGTAGTTTATGAATATAAAGTATTTAGAATGGATAACAACACATTGAATCACATTATTAGAGGAATCTGATTTGAGCATATGGTTTTATCTAAGCTCACTACAGAGTAAGGAGATCTGGGAAGAGCAACTAGAGGATGCTGAACTAGCATGGATACTCCTTGTTATGCACCAAGATGAAACATGGCAAGCACAGATTGAATAACATCACATGGACACAAGTAACCTCTGGCACTTAAACAAGCAGTTACAAGTGCGGGAAGGCTTGCTATACCATTGCTATCAACCAATGTAATGTGGTTCTTAATCTGTATTGCAGCTAGTGGTCCCCATGATTCTAAAACAGTTAAACTCTCCAGAGTTGCCACAATGCAACGATAGAAAGCCACAAAGGTGTTACAAGCACTTGTGCTAAAGTGCAATGGCAGTTTTACTGGCCACATTTACTGGTTAAAACATCAAGTGCTGCTTTGGTACTCCATGGTTCGTAATGTGTACTGTCCAGAGGAAAAACTGGCCTACACGGGGTAAACCTTCAGAGAGATTAGCCCTGGACATTGCTGGTCCTCTCCTAGAAACTGAACAAGGTAATCATTATACTTGTCATTATCTATTACGTCCCTAAGAGAGCCGAGGCCTATCCATTAGTCAATACTTCACCACAGTCATAGTTGATGCGTTGGTAATTAATGAAGAAATCAGGAAGCTTTTCTCTATTTCAATAGCCAACTATTCTCTGGATTATGCAAAGTGTTGGGTGTGGTAAATAGATACACTACACCTTATCAACCCCAGCCTGATAATGTAGCACAGTGGTCAGTACAAACTATCATGTGGATGCATATAAACATTTGTTAATTCTGATCAAACTGTCTGGGACAAACATTTGTCATACATCATACCAGAGAACAGAGATCAGCTGATTATTTGCTGAACTTGCTCATGTTTAATGAGGAAATATTTCCTTCTGTGGATGTAATGTACGGTTCCCCCTCCTTCCAGAGCAGATGTGCTGCAGTGTCTGCAAAAATATTTGGAGCAGCTAAAGTAAAAGGTAGAGGAGAAGTTTGGTATGCAGGCTTACCATGTGTTTTCTATCTCTGTAATTGACATACATATGTAATTTTTAAAGATTTTAGTTGATATTGAGTATTTTGTTCTTAATAATTCAGAATTTGGTCAGTAGAGCCACTAAGTTCCTCTCACCCTAATTACTAAAAGAACTAGGTCAGTCTACAAGGGTGTCACGTGTACATTCTCAGGGGAGAGACAGGTGTAACGTCTACTACACTGTATACAAATCGAAAGTGATCTTTTCCCCTCGCAGGTGGGTGAAGCCCCAGGGATATTACATTTCTTATAATAGACTTATACTGAAGAGAGAGTGATCTTCGGTCATGTTGATAGCACTTGCAAACAAAGAAGAATGGAATTATCATTAGTTCAACACCCTGTGCTTCTTACTGAATTCTGAGTTGAATAAAAGACTATATTTGAGATACCTGAATAATGTGAACATTATAATTTTAACTGTTATGAAGTTAAACTATTATGTAATAGCACTTACTTTACTGTTTACTTCTTATATTTACTCATATCAATGGGACTTCCTCCACCGATTAAATGAAAGAAATATTTCGAAGATAGGAGAATGAACGAAAAAAACGCATGAGAAGAGGAACGTGTTTGAGTATATATTTGTTGTTGTATATATATTTATATATTCCATGTCGGTATTATATACTTGCATGGTTTTATTGTACCATACTGAATAATTTGTTTTGATTTGAATTGAACTGAACATCTCTTTTCTGACACTTCTTATAAAAATGAAAACTGTCAAAAAGCGCTCACTTCGATAGCGGTCTTTTCTTGCACTCAGTAAAATGACAAAGAACGGTGGCATTCAGTGGACAAAATTCCCGCGGCTACTTAACGAACATAGTGTTCTACTGTGTTCGATACATTCACTGCATCAAAATCCAAACATTTTTTTCCAACAATACATTACAGTCAGTATAAAAAACAAACGCAATGCAATTTTCCTTACTGAAATAACGCATGGAGTGACAAAAGATGGCTGTAAACTGCCCACTAGACAATCATACACATATGCTCTGATTCATTCGTCACTATTTTTAGGAAAATTACCGTTGAATTGTTTCAGTGGGCATCTGCTAGTCTAAAATAATTTTTTCTACATTTCATTGGTTCCACTGAAGTCAATATGAAAATTTTCTAGCTTTTTATTCTAGAAATACTGTATAAGTAAACTTTATTTTTCATCATCTTTTCCCTTTATCTAAGCAATGTAATAATAAAATCGAAATAAAATGCATTTATAAGCTCCAGAAGCCAAAACATAAGGGTATAAGTCCCACCTCTTAACAGTACTTTAAAGTGTAGATTACCTTTAACAAGATGTTAATCAGAAAAGTTTGGGAAGATTCATGGAACAGTTTGAGAATGACAAGCGCATTGTTGATGGTTTTACTACGGCGCCCTTTCTTCCGACGTCTTTAATAAAACGTGACAATGGTCAGAGGCTGATTTCAGTGATAATGTCATTTCATGCAAGCAAAGTTTTGGGAAGAGCTATTCCACTCGCCAGGCGTCATTTATTTCTGGAGTGTATGTAGTAAGACAAGATTTTGCGAGAATAATCCAACGAACGGGAATTGCTAAGATCGAAAAAGAAAAGAAAGGAAACACGACGAACATCCGATAAACTGCTATAAACAATTTCAATCCTAGTATGCAATTTGTAATTCAACAGTTGATTAAAAATGCCCCTTTTATACATAACTCATACTGAAATTCTAGTTTGAAAGTAACAAAGAAAGAAATCTTTGACTTTAATAAATAATCCATTTTAGCTGTTTGCTTACACTGCTGAGAGTTTTGAAAGCTTTTCTTCTGCTAAATAATTAATGTATTAATTTGTTCTGGGCAAACACCAGATAATGCTTCTCTCATGATCTTTTAAACAATTTCGATTATATTATCGCGTCGCTTATACGGTGTCTCTCAGTGATCAGTAGTGGAAGGAAACTGTAGGCAGTTTACTTTTGCATTTAATGTTTAGTTTACATGATCATCAGCCAGAGATTATATGGTACACTATAAGCATACAACTTGGTAATTATAAAGTCAAGGATAAATTCTATAATTGGACTTCCAAATGGTTTTAAACCTTACTAATTATCAGTATAATAATATGATGGAATGCATTGTATCTTTATCTTAATAAGTATCGTTGGTGCATGGATTATGAATATCCTCTGATGCAATAAAATCCTGGAGATGCTATAAAAACGTTTGAAGAACACAATTAGTACCACGGGCAAATTTTAGAATTGGTAATAACTCGTATTATATCGTATACATACATTTAAGCTGCGGGGAACCGTATCGTTTATTATTACCAATTATTAATTAAGGCATGGAATTCTAGTATTTCTATTTGCATAAATGTATATAAAAGTCGTTCTTATAATTCTGAATTATTTATAATTACAGGGGTTAAAGCATTGGACTGTTTCAAGTGTGTATCAATAAAGGGCGACAATCCCGCCTGCGAAGATCCCTTCCATAATAATTATACAACAGATGTGCTCGAGTCACCTTGCTGGGCAGGTCGGAAACATAGAAATGGACTTTTTCCTGCCACAGCCTGCATCAAACTATCTGGAAAGTATGGTGAGTATGCCATAAATTACACAATAAATTACTAATATGATGGGAGTCAAACATAGCCGTAAATTGCACAATAGATTACTAATATGATGGGAGTCAAACACAGCCATAAGTTGCACAATAGATTACTAATATGATGGGAGTCAAACACAGCCATAAGTTGCACAATAGATTACTAATATGATGGGA